CCTCCCGTCTCGCTCCCCTCCATCTGTTCCCTCTGCGCCTCCCGTCTCGCTCCCCTCCCTTCCTTCCCCTCCCTTCCTTCCCCCCTCCCTTCCTTCCCCTCCCTCTTCCTTCCCTTCCCTCTTCCCTTCTCAGCCCCGTCCACCTCCACCTCCATTTTCCGTTCCCGACAACGTAAGCTTTTCCTCGCTCTCCCCCGGCACTAGCGACTAAACGAGAACCCAAGCATCGGAGATGCTTTTGGGAAAAAAAGAGAGAGAAGGAAGAAGGAAAAAGAAAGAGGAAGCGGAGAAGAGGATTTGCTGTTGCCTGGATTTTCCTAGAAAAATGGATCTTCCATTCAATAAATTGCCTTAATATCTTCCAAAATACAGCACAGTACTATATTAAACCAAGAGATGTGAATAGAGCCAGCGCTTTTCCGGTGGGTGTAATCGGGTGTCAACCTCAGGATCAGCTCCCCCCAGGTGATGTCCATTGTGAAGCGCTTCATTCCCTTGATGGCTTGGGAGCTGAGTGAAAGCTTCGGACAACGGGGACTAGATCTTTGGGGCTCCGCAAGTGCAGTTGGAGGGATCAAGACTAATTGTTTGTGTATGTTCAATTCAAAAAGTACTCCCATTATGGAGCCATTGTCACGACATTCCTGGCGCCTAGTGGGCTTCAAAAGCCACGGGTTCAGAAGGCGCTTTCCAACACGACTTATGATTCGCTTGCCAACACCCTAGCATGGAATGCGAATCATGTCAACCTTTGCATCCAAACCGTTCCGGTTGGAAGCTCTTGGTGGGATTCTCAGCTTCGTGACCCAGTCAACACGTTAAGTACCCGAAGCCTCTAATAATGTCTATCCTCGATTTGGATCGAAGAACTTGACGACAGCTTGGTCAAAGTGTTTTGCTGTAGACTAACAACTGGATGATCAAGAAAGGACTTAGCGTCATGACCCAACACTACCTGATGTATTGTTTAGACTTTGAGGCTCTTGACAAGGGGACTTACTCAGAGTGAATGGTCAACGGACGAAGTTTGGGCTTTGGCACATTGGTAAAAGCTGCTGTCCACGGTAAGCTCATTCCTTCAATCGTCACTCATGCAGCAGCTGGAGACAGGATGCATCTTCAGCACTATGAAAGTCTCGTGGGAATCCACCCATCCCCCTTCCCAACTCCGAAAGGGAGCCCATAACCAAGGACCGGGTCCTGGTCCAGAAGATCAAAACGGAGGCCGAGATCGCTGTTTGTGGTGTGGGGGGGGGGTGAAAAATCGCGAACACGAGTGAGACTGCTCGGACACTTATTCAAATTGGCGAACCACAACAGAGAGATGTTCGTCTAGGCATGCATTTTGGCGTGGATTGTGAGAACTTGATTTGTTCCACATTGTTCCGATTCCACTATACTTTTCCTTTGCCTTTCCCAGCATTCTGACATGTTGGGCTGTGGAGGGTCTCAGTGCACTTTTCATCCATGTGACATGGGTCACGAAGACGTTCCCGATGCGAGCGAGAACTCCCACTGGAACTGCATTTAGAGGATGTTTATATCCTCTTTCAGGGCCTGGCTCCAGGCCCCCGCTGTCCAGATGAGACACTCTTACACTGGGTCACTGTTTGTTCATTGACTCCTGACTGCTGTAGGATCCATCTATGGGTCCTGACGGTGTGCTCTATGGGACCCCCCATAGGACGTAGATGACATACCAGATGTGGCTGGCTCAGCTGGTTGGCTGGTTGTTGGCATTTTGAATCGAATCTGCTAGTTATAGTGGTTTATAGGGATGTTTGAGTTTCTTGTCCGACAGAAAGTCACCACCCATTTTGGTGCCACACCATCCGTGGCCCGAAAAACTGCTGCAACATGCTGCAACCCTTTTTCAATTGCCAAGCCAACGAACCATCGGACCGACCAACCAGCCAAGCCAGCCAACAATTGCCAATGAAGATCAATGAAGCAGCAAGTCTTCCAACCAACCCAAGCAACCAACCCAAGAGCTCCGCCTTTTTTTGGGAAAAGAAACATGAGCTCCGACGCTCCGAGGCCAAGACGGCGAGCGGCATCTTCCTGCGACCCGGTGGCAGTCATGGGTAGACCGAAGGGCTGGCATAACCGAGAGAAGACACGCACAAGAAAGCGGCAATCCACGGCCTCACATGTTTGTGCTTGACATCTTGGCTTGACATGCCATTTTCCACGTTGGATCTAGATAGTCAAGCCAAGTGCCGCATGCCGCATGCGTGCCATCAGATTTCAGGCCTGACACGGCCAAGAAGGATCCTAACTGGGCGAAGGCGGGGTTCGACGGCTGGGGAAATCCGATGGATCCATCAACGATGGACGATGGATGTTCAGCACAGAATCTTGGAGTGCCATGTGTGTGTCCATGTGTTTACTGTTACAAGCATGCTCACGCTCTGTCAGATGGAGCCCAGTCAGTTTTACAGCTGAACCGTTCCGACGGTTGGAATCCATGGGCTCAAAGATCCAAAGAACTGACTCGTCCGTCGTTTCAGAACTGACAGAGTGGGTGTCACAAATCCGGGTGTGAACAGAATTGGAGTCTGAAAGTGGTCCCACCAGCAGATTGAAATCGCACGAATCTGGGTTTATTCCAAGCAACTGGGTTGCGGTTCACAATCTCAAGCACCCTTTTCCTGGGTGGTTCCAGTGGTAGCTCTGAACCAATCATGAAGTACTAAATCTATACTGTGTGGGGAGTTGTGTGGGGTCAAGGTTTTTGGCGTATGTTCGCCGTGTTTCCATGCTTTACATTCTCTAGGCTCCAGCTTGACCGTGTGCTTCAGGATTCGCAAGGTCTTCGTTGTGAATCTCCGGGGTCCAATGGTCCAGGGGTCCATTGGCGGAAGGACATGTCTCCAAAGCACACGACGAGCGGAATCAATGTGAACGAGAGATTTCTAAGACGTTCACATGGCCTTCATGGCCTGCATTCCAATTCCCAATGGCACGTGATATTGATCTCTGGCAAAACACATCCTCCCAGTAATCTACGTGGTAGAGGACCAAGTTGTGCTTCTATTAGGGAAGTCTTGTGGTCCAGCGATTGGAAAGCCCACCTCCAAACACAGGACCTCAGGACCTAAAAACATTGGAAAGCGGAGCAAGTTGCCAAGGTGGCCATGTCGAAGTGCGATGAGTTGTTTCGAGGTGAAATCTCCAAGAAAGTTGGATCATCGAGAACCCCACATCCGGGGGGGTGGTGAATGGGCACACCTGAGCACCTCACATCGGGGCTACGGACATAGACAACCTTGCATTGTGTGGTCGTGGATGAGATGATCCTCTGTCGAAGCATGCACCCTTTGAGAAGGTGGTTGGAACATGTTAGAACCATGCAAATGTTTCAAGCAGTTTTGGAGCGTCCAAGTACCCCCGTTCCACGGAACATGTAGACATATTACAATTAACGTCATTGCTGGATTCTTAGGCGGTCTCAGACCACTGACAGATTGAAAGGCAAAAACAGTCTAACTAATTTTATATGGATCCGAATGTGTCTCAGCTGCGGAACCGAGGTCTTGGCGACAGGGCCTGGACGATTGTCCAAGGAGAGTGAGTGGGGAATAACAACGAATTTGATTCACATGACATGGAAAGATTGGAGACACCATTAGTGGGGAGCCGACCATGACCATTCCCAATGGGTTCTTATATGTACCATTATGGTTAACGGTTAATTATGTTCCTATAGGAATCCCATATTCATACATTTTCATACATGTTCTCCGTTAAAGACTCATGTGATATGAAAATTGGGACCTCCTGATAGCCAGTATAGGGAGATTTATAACATTGCATCCATCTGAAAGTGGCCAAATTTACCATGCACTCAGTTACTATAAGACTTTACACAGTCTTTACACTCTCATCCCTTCTCTGAGGAGGGTGAGCTGCTCCCCATGAACATCAAGGCTGAGGGACTAGCGCTTGTCGTAGCAATGCAAGCCTTGGCTTTGCCTTGTTCATATTAGGACACTGAGGGTGATTTGGACCAGTTCTGCTGCACCCCAAAAACTGGCCGAGTTGGCCTCCAGACCATCTCTTGCCACATTAGCAACTGCCAAAGAGATATCCAGAACCCTGCTGTCGCAACCAACTTCAAAACTACAAGGTGACTTGTTCATAGCATTCCTCGATCTCCTATCTATCTTCAATCCAAACTCTGCGTGACCGGGCGGCGAGGTGGGCGACACTGTGGTGATCCCCGAGTACGGCGGCGTGACCCTGAATTTTGATAACGAGGTGCTTCCTTTGTGCAGGGCAGTTGATATCGGGCACTGAAGGAAACGGGTTGTTGCTGGTTGTTGGTTGATTTTGGTTGCCATGACACCCCCTTCCCCGCTGAGTTCAAGGTAGTCCTTTCCAGAAGCAATCTGACCATGTCACTCTTCATTTTTGTGATCAGCCAATAAACATGCTACAATATACCTCATGGTGAAGGGAGTCGACAATCGACCCAATTCTTCACGGCAACCCTTCTAGCTCGATCGATTAGCTCCAGGGGTCAAGGATGCCAATGCTGACCTTTTGAGCGTTGAGGAAGGGAGGATGGAAAGGACAGGGACAGTGGCAAAGGACTTCATGGGCTCCGGACTTCGGACCTAGGATAGGTTTGGCTTCTGGAAATTCGATCTACCACCTTGCTGGGAACTAGCTTGTTTCAACAGCCACAGGCCGTTCTTCCCCCTGTAGAGGGAACTCATTGGGAGCCGACTCAGTGTCCATTCGGCGGCTTTGGCTCCTTGGAGCGGCAGGAATACCATGTCTTCAGAGATGAGGACATTATGGGTGTCATCCAGGAGCGACGCTTTGGCGACCCTTTGGCGACGCTTGGCGACGCGTTGGCGACGCGAGGCTCGCCTTTGGCACCGAATGGCGCCGATGTGTTGATTTTGTGGACAAAGTCCGAAAACTAGATCGCATAGGGCTATTTTAACAGCAGGATCCCCAGCTAAACCTCTCACAGAGATCTGGCTGTAGCGCAACTTTATATATTACAATGTTATTATATACTATATTGCTGTAGCACTCTCAGCCCACAATAAGCATGGAAGCCAACAAACATGCACAGATAATCACGGATATCATGTTCACTATGGTCGTTTGGAGACCATGACCAATGACCAAGCTCCGTTTTTGATAGAGTAGTTCTTTGGCTAATGGGTGACAGACATGTGTGATGCAATCATAAAGGCCTAGTAATGCCTAGTAGCTCAATGGTTTTGCGGTTTCTCGTGAATCTTTAGTTTGGCGATGTTCCATCCACCGTGTGACACACCGAAACGATGCTCCACAAAACTGTTCCTTCCAGGACGAATGAGACATCAAGGCGAGGCTGCCGTGGAGCGGTGACGCCACAGAGAGTTTTTGAAGGTTTCTATGTGTGTATATATATATATGGTACCCCCCCAAAGAAAAAACAAAGTTAACTGGTATTTCGATATTTACAGTAAAAATTGCACCGACGAACAGGGAGGAGTTCCCAACCCAGCTTTGGGGCCCGACCTAGAGTTTGACACCGACGACGAAGAACCTGCAGTTTGTGCTATGATTTCGACGATCTGCTGCAAGATCATCCTCGAGTGTGTGACGAATTGGAGGCAGCTGCAAAGAAGATCGCCGAGCTGCAGGGCATCTTGGACACTCAGCCTTGAGGTGACGGACTTGGGAAGCTGGAGCATCGGCTGTGGAGAAAAAACTGTACGCCGCGTACTCAGACAGGCAAGTGTCTCAAGGCTCTTAAGTTCCTTCTTCGCTGTCGTCCATGGCGAATCCCTTCATTGACGAGGCCATGCGCACCTATGGTGGGAAAGAGTGGCGACTTGAAAGTCATACTCTTCCTCGTTGCCAAGTCAAGACCTCAGATGACATTCAGTCGCCCCTGACAGTGGAATATGTTTTGTCCTGTTGTCGCCCACCTACCGGTGTCAAGACCACTGTGCTCATCATGGATGCGCAGCTGGCTGTGAGCGATTGTGGGCTTCCTCGTGATGTTGCTTTGGCCTTGAAGGGGCAAAGGGTTGCAAGCTTGCCTGTCGCCGTGCGTGTTGCTGAATCTCCGCCAGCTGACTCCAAAGTTGGGGGAGTTGTCATGGACAAGGGCAACGGACTGGTGGATGTGATCAAGTATGTCACCTTCAAGGACAAGGTGGCAACGCGGGAAGCTACAAAACTCATTGCTGGCTCTGCATATGCGCCTTTCTCTCGCCCAGGTCCGTGGGCATCCAAGAAGGCTTTCCAATCCTTGTTGGACAGGCTGCCTGGACATCAGTCATGTGCATTGGAGATCATTGGAGCACAGTGACTGAATGGGAGTAACCCATGATCATTGATTGTGATAGTTTGGTCTTTGATTGTGATAGTTTCATTTTTTCTTGTTATGAGTCTTAAACCACATATCTGTAACTTATGGTGGAGTTCCTGAACACCCTGAGTTGCTTCATGATGGTGTTTCTTTGCAGCAATGTAAATTTGAGGTGTCAAGCCAAAACAGGGGGGTGGGTGGGTCGTGCTACTTAAAGCCTGACACTAGGCAAATTGGACCAAGTCATCAGTCAGAGAGTTTGGCATATATTTTTTACTGCTCTAGGTTGTCTGATCTAGGTTGTAGCAACTTCTTTGTGAGCAAACAAAATGTAGACATTGTAAATTAAGTTGAATGTAGTTTGGCATTTTACATCCATGATCTTGCTTTGTGTGAGTTTCTTTGAGTAAAACGTATTGATATGTTTGATTTGGAAAGTAAACAGAAGCAGTTTTGAGATGCACCTGTCTGTCAGGCCCTGTCAGGAATGAAGCAGTACTAAGGCCACTAAGGAATTAGACATCTTCAACTTCAAGAAGGCAATGTTTTTTTAACTTTCCACCGAATAGGTGGATAGCACCGAACAGGTGCTTCTTTTTTTTGGGGGGGGAGGGGCAACACCAGTGGAGCACTTAGTTTCAGTCCTTGCACATATGCAGGACTCATACTTCCAGGCTGGATAAATATTATCTATAGCCAAGGTCTTTGGGAATATCCAGGACTTTGGAGTTTCTTTGAACATACCATCAAAAAAACTACTGTTCAGTTCAACAATATATAATATATTATAAAAAAGTGCCAGCTCTGGATATATATACTTTCTTTTCTTGAGTTGCATTGCAACCACTCACACTTCTCAGAGTCAAATTTGGAAAGGGCTAAGTTCAGTCAGGAAAGAGTGCATGACTCTGGACTAAGGCTCACACTAAGGCATGCTAAGGTCATCGCCCACAAAACCCGTTGTCAAGTTGAACACGAACTAGGTGTCAACCACTGTCATGTTTTTTTTTAATGTTTGGGTATTGATTTTCACTCCATCAACCCATTGCAACTCATGCCATTTCCTTCCAAGCCTACCCCATCTATTATTTCTATCTTCAAGATTTCCTGGCCACACCTCAGCACCACACACTCCTTTCTCAATCACCAGTCACACGTTGCCTCATTGCACCCTTGATTCGAGCTTCATTCACACTTTTCTAGTCATCAATTCATTTTGTCCTGTCAATTTGCCAAGCTTCCCATTGATGCTCTCAGTTCATATTTCTTTGTGTATGCAAGCTGAAGATTAGTTATTAATGAGCTCTCCAAACCTCAGTGTTTGTGGCAAAAAACGGATTCAGAATGCATTTGGCTTCAAACATCCACTTCATTCATCTTAAGCCAACTCACGGCCATGCAGGAAATAATGCATATGTGTGGGCTAAGGGTCACACTAAGGCACACTGAGGTAATCACACTTGTGGCAAGCTTAGGAACAACCACGGATTGAATTCAGTCTGGCCCGTTTCATGGTAGCAACCTATTTAACGCCAACCAAACATCACTCACTGCAATACATACATTCCAATCATCCCATTCAATTGAAGTCCAACCAGTTTTCCAAATAGCATCATTGAGCGACATTCATTGAGCCCCTCAATCGAACTTATGGTAACCCATCCAGCCCTTCCCACCACCATTTGCCCTTCCATCCCAGCAGCAGTTCTCATGCATCTCTGTTCAACCAACCATCCACACATTCACTTCTTCATACAGCCCACCCACACATTTATTCACTCATCCAATCAACCCACAGTTTTTTGTCCAAAAGAGTGCACAGTGTTATTGTCCACACCTTTTTCAGAATGTGCTTTGCTTGCTTGTGAGTGAAGTGCTTGTGAGTGCATCACTGTTTAACCATGGGCGGGCTTTCACCTAAGGAAAACCGGGTTCAAGGTCATTGCCAATGTTTAATCTACTGTCAGCAACCTAATGGTCCATCTTTGATCTACTTTAATTTGCCCAAAAGTATAATTCATGTTTATGCCAAGGCTTGGTAGCATGTGTTCTGTGACAACTTTTTGGATAATTTCCAGGGCTTGAAAAGAAACATAGCATACTATATATATACATATTGCTTTTGATGGATAAAGTATGATGCACTGTAGAACATGCATGTACATGCAATAGCACAGGTGCCCTTTTGAAGTGATCATATTTTTAACTATAAGAATATAGTTCTATTTTGTAATTGTATAGACTGATACTGGTGGTGTTCATTCCTTCCAAGTTGAATGGGCGCATCCCATTGAAAGGGCTGGCACTGAGAAGAAAGGTCTTGAAGACTCTCAGACGAAAAAAGCATTTCCCGGGCATGTTTTGAGCCATCAACATGAGCTCATTGAAGCTGATCCTCATATATCGTTCAGTGAGGTTGGCATCAAGATGTGACATCAGTCCATCAAGCATCAGTAGGGGTAGTGTGCTTTGGTGGTTAAAAAAGATCGCAGCCAAACACAGATATCATTTAGAAAATAACATCCCAAGAAATGAGTTTGGCTTGAAGCTTGCCTAGTAGTCATAATCCACGATGGGATGAAATTGAAGATTTGCCAACATATAACTTTGTAGTCTGCCGGCTCTGTCAGCCCTGAAGAAAACCACTTGATTGGCAAATGGTACAAAGCCACCAAACCATAAATCCATTATGGGATTCACCTGGCAACCAATAAACTCATTATGGTATTATCACCCAGCAACCAAGAAACTCATAATCCATTATGGGATTAAACCAAGAACATCAATTATGCAAACTGAGGCTGTTAAATAAATATTCAATATAAATTAATATTAATATATTTTAGCAGCCCAACACAAAAACCATAATCCATTATTGATTAAGAAATAGTGCCATTTCTCATCATCCCATAATGGATTCTGAGGGTTCGAATGCCAGATATAAATCAATCAATACTAATATGTTTTAGCAGCCCAACACAAAAACCCATAATCCATTATGGGATGAT